ACATAACAATTTTATGGGGTAGAAAAAATTTTTGATAAATTACAATCGCAGGAAACTTAGCGTTCGTATTTACCTCGATACTTTGCAAATTTCCTAAAATACCGGGGTAAATACGAACGCCACTGTATTTCAGAAAAATCTTAGGGAAAATAAATTTAAAGTATTGCAATTGTTAAACTTATATAAAAACTCAAAAAAAATACGATAATAAACCTATATAATAATGCATCATATATAAATACAAAAATCAAACAGGTTAAAAATTAAAATGCATTACACAATTAAAACCTTCAATAACTTTATCAAATCATAACGGATTTTTGCAAAACTTGGTACAGAAAGAATTTTGGAGTCATTGAATGTAAATACAAAAATAAAAGTCAAATTTTTTAAATTCAAAATGGCGGATTCAATATGGCGGACTTTCCTAAAACTAATTTTTAAAAATGATCAAATTTGCTAACTCCAAATTCGTAATCAGCGACCCTGAAACCCCCCGAGTAACATTTTTCGAGCGAATCCAATGAATTTTTTAATTCTCGTCCGCCATTTTGAATTTTGAAAAACTGACTTCAAATTGGTAATCAGCGACCCCAAAAACCCTAGAATACCAAATTTTATTAAGATCCTGAAAAATTTTTTTCAACAAACCATTTGGCAAAAAAAGTGGAACACTCCTTCGAGAGAACAGAGATTAAGTTTCTGCTTATTAATTACTAACAAGGATACTTATAGAAAGAAAAACTTTTTTCTATGTACTTTTATAATGTTAAAATAATAGTGTAATCAAATAAAAACAATTTTATGTGGCTCTGATATAAAAAAAAATTATTGAAAATACCGTTCGGATTTACCCCGGTTTTCCAATTTTCCGGGGTAAATACGAACGGTCTGATATTATTAATAAAATTTTACAGAAGGCAAAAATCAAAAATAGTTTCTGTTCTAGTCTTCATTACAAACAATTATAAATAATAAAATGAATTTTTAGCTTCTTTTTTTCAAATACGAGACAAAATACTGAAAGAGTGTCATCTTTGATTTTCAATATTTTTTGCAATACTCGTTATCTTTGTTTATGCTGTTGCTAATTAACAAACGAAAAATGGAATAATACTTAGTATCTCTTGAAGATGATCTGAGGTAACAATTCTCATGTCTAACTTATTTTTTAAAATTTTAATTAAGCTGAAATAATTAGCGTTTGGATTTACCCCGGCTGACCCTATTGTATATATATTCCATAATAATTTAAACAATTTGAATTTATTAAAAATAAACTCTTTTTTATAAAAAACTAAAATTAAAAATAACGCAGATGACGTAGACTAGACTCAGATATAATACAGAATTTCCTACTGGGACACCACCTCGGATAAACGGGGTTTTACTGTAATATAACTTTTCTGCATTTAGAGAATAAAAATTTTAGTTATCAAAGCTTTAAATTTTTATACCGAATTTGGGGTAAAAGTTCTACTTTTTTCGTGTTATTTTTCCAAAAAGAAGAGATTTAGATTATATGTATAATTCTAAAAGAATTTAATCCAATTTTTGATAGATTTTGGTATTGTACAAGATATAATTTATGTATAATCAATAGTGTGCAAAGATCATTGAATTTTGAACAATACTCGAGAATTGTATGTATAGAATCATTGTAAGGACTGTTTATACGTACTCTTGTGGTAATTCAATTCGATTTCGAGGCTTTGATAGCTATCAGAATGACCATCGGTTTGTATATGTATACCAGGCTTTTCGAATCATAAAATAACCAAATGCACATATACTATTTCATGAATTGTTTCAACAATATATACACAATGCCTAGAATATGAGATACGATTTTGTAAAGTTTATAGTCGATTTTGAATGTATATATAAGTATTATACTATACGGTAAAGTTGATAATTCGCATTTGTGAGCTGAGAGCATCGTATAGCTTGTAATTAGGATCTATTTTGATGTTCGTCTCTCGCTCTCAAGTTGTAACTCGCCATATGTGAAGGGATAACAATTACTTTGATTTAGGAAGGAAGCACACTAATTTTTTTTTCTCCCTCTTTTCACCACAAAGATTATTGGCTTCGACGGGACTTTTAAATACAATCTCTCTCTCTTGACGTTGATTATGCTTCTCGAATGCAGTTAAAAGAAAATAGAATAAAAATCTAAAGACATTGATGTAACGTAAAACATTAAAAAAAAACGGTTATTTCTACTTGCTCCTTCTCTCTGGATGTATGCTATTAAAATAATCTGCGAATTATTTCTTTTTATTCTTTATACACTTGACACGGTATATTTTACTTGTCTCTGGATTTCTTTTCGATATTTTTTTGAAAAGAAAAATTGGTTTTTTTTCCCCTGAGTCACATATCAGGAAAAACTGTCAGTTTCAGAAATTGCAAAAGCATTTTTGTTTCAAATAGTTTCCTTGTGCATTTGTTTCTCAAAATGATGGGTTATTGTATCGAACAATTTCTAATCGGTTCTTTTGGCGAGTTGACCACCCTATTGTTCGAGAAAACTATATATATAAGTACCACACCCAACACACACTGTAAAAAGAAACGAATGGGCTGTCGACCGCCTGGAGCATGATACTATCAGCTCTGCTAGTTTAGCCTCCTAGAAACCGTGTTTAATGGCACAAGAATGAATCTCGAGAGTCTAGTATTGATGATCGATACTGCAAAATCGAACAATAATTTAGCACAAGTCACATTATATGTGACGACGAGAGAATGGGACCTTTCGTGAAAAAAAAATTGTAGGTTATGTTTAAGATTTTTTAACTGGTAAATATTCACAGAGAATTAACTCTTAATACAAAACATTTATTAAGTCTTCATTCCATTCTAGAAAATTTAATAAAAACTAAATTTTATTTTACCTAAAGAGAAACTTTCTGTCAAGGTAAAACATAACCTATAATTTTTTTTACCTAAGGTCCCTTCCCTCGTGGAACGTCACATATTCCTCCTAAAGATTCTTTACTCATTTCATTCCTTTCCTATAAACTGTTTTTTTGTGTCTCTCATTTTCAATTTATTTATTTACAGTAATAATTTTATAAATAAAATTATTTACAGTAATAAATTTAGGTAAATTAATAAAAAAATAAAAAAAATTATTATTAAACAATTGGAAGTGAAAAAAAGAACCGTTTTCTTTTTATTTTCCTTTTGATGACTAAAATAGTTACTTTCTTCAATAATTAATGACTAATTTCTTGGGACTTGAAAAATAATATCGAATAATTGATGGATTATTTTCTTATAGTCATATTCAATAAAATTACAGTTTTACTATTTTATTTTACATTTTCTTTTATTTTTTGGACATTTATTTTCTGTTAAATTTTTCTAAATATGGATTGTCAGGAGCGGAAAAAAATGGATATAAATATATTGGAAGCGTTTGTAATAATTTTTGCGTCAAAAGAGCAGAGAGATAATTTATGGATATAATAAAGCCGTCAGTTATGAGATATATAGAAAGAAGAGAATAAAATTGTTTTCCTTCTTTTGTAAAAAAGAAAAAAAAATCACAGTTCGATGATCGATGATCGCTTTTAAGCACAGCCTGCAGGCTAATTAACTATGTCACGTTTAACGAACTTCTGGGCACGTAAATTTTCTTCAGATTATAAATATTTAACTCAAGCAAATTAAGAATTTGTCTTTTTTAAAAAAAAGAAAGTCAGAGACGAGTTTTAGATCCTAGTGACAGAAGATCGATTAGACTCCCAAAAAAAATGTTTTTACTAATCATACCTAGTTTTTAAATTTTGATCGATGGATTCCTGATTTTTTGTATATTTAAAATTTCAATTTTTAGTTTTTATTTTACGATTTGTTTCCTAATTAAATTGAAGAAAGAAACAAAATGAAATTAAAAATTGATCGATGGTTTCATTTTAAAAATAAAATTTTTAGTTTTTATTTTACTATTTCTTTTCTAACTAGTAGTAACAAATTTCTAATAGTACACTGAGAAAAATGTTTAGTCAGAGCAACCAAAATTTGATTGGGCCAACAAAAAAATTTTGTTGGTATTTAAGCAACCAAACTATTTGGTTGAGTGTTTTTTGTTGGCATAACAAAAATGTTTGGTTAGCTCAACCAATTTTTTTTTGTTAGGTCAACAAAAACATTTGGTTGATCAAACAAACATTTTTTTTTGTAAAATTAAAAACTGGACTACCCATTCTTGTGAGAGATTTAAACTAACTGTTCTCTTAAGCTATGAGCTGAGGTGTGAATCAAATTATTTGGTTGTCGCAACCAAATTTTGGTTAGGACAACAAACGATCATTTGGTTTTTTAGACCAAATTATTTTGTTGTGTTAACCAAATTATTTTGTTGTCGTAACCGAATTTTGGTTGGAATTTAAAAATGTTCAACCAAATAATTTTGTTGGCCTAACCAAATGTTTGGTTGAGATAACTCTACGACTTTGTTTCAGCCAACCAAAATTTGGTTACAAGAACCAAAATTGCCTAATCAAACAATTTTGTTGCAAACACTAAATTTTTTTTCTCAGTGTAATAAAGTAACTATTAAATTTCTCTATATTAAATTGAAAGAAAAAAAGAATGAAAGGAAAATATTATAAAAATTCATGATGAGAAAGTATTTAATGTCAGGATTAATATATAAATTAATTAAATTTACGATTGAATCAATAACAATCAGATATATACAATCTTTGATTGAAATTTTTGATAATACAAGAAAAAAATGCCAATCTGAATATTATTGTCTCGCCTCAAATATACAAAACGAACATCAGATGGATCGATTTATCGAATATGATCGATCGATCGATGATCAATCCAAATGTGCAAATGATCGATACGTCACGCAATTACTCTCCCTTCGATCGTGATTTTGCAGGTCTCTTATAATAATAATAATAATTTTTCTTTTTTAGTGACAAGCAATCAAATGATCAAGTCTTATATATATATTTTATTTTTCTCTGTTGCAGCAGAAGGTCAAATTCTGGTTCGCCACGGGTGGCGCCGGTTTTTGCATCAGCAGGGCGCTCGCACTCAAAATGATACCGGTGGCTGGGTGAGTCCACACTTTTATTATTATCTTCGATCTACATCTCTCAGTGAGGTGATCTATGGCTCGTAAGCGGCGCGAACAAGGGACCCCCTGAAAGAGATCTATCGATCCGCTTAATACTCTAATTTTTTAATTTCCTCAACGACAAAAAAATTAACGAATAACTCTACTGTTGCGTCCCACTTTTTTTTTTTTTATTTTTTTATTCAGTATAAATATAACGAAAAAGATTTATTGATTAAATTAATACAATTTTTTTAAATTTTAATTCAAAACAATTATAAATTTGTTTTTTTTTTTAATTATTTTTCTTTTATTTTTTGTTTATTATTTATTTATTACGTTTCTTTATTTAATCCCGTCAAGAAGTTTTGAAAGGGCCCTGGCAGGGCCCACGTCAGGATGCTCCAAATTCGCATGAAACAGAGAACCCGATCGGGGCCACAGAAGAGCCTTATTTCAACCCGATTAACATCGATTAAAACCGTGGTTCAGGCCCAGTCGGTTCCCTGTTTCAACCAGGTCAGGGCCAGGTTGACGAATTTCTACACGGGATGTAATTAGTATTATTTAATTTAATTATATAATTTTTTAATTACTATTTCCCGTGTAGAAATTGCCTTACCAGGGCCCTAGTAGGGAATGAAACGCCACACCTGATCAGGGCCTAATCAGGGCGAACAGAAAATGTGGATTTTTGTAATCAGGGCCACACCTGGCGCGGCGTTTTATTTCCTAATAGGGCAGCCTGATCCAGCCCCGATCTGGGCCATGGCAAAATTTCTGCACGGGTTACTTATAATTTAATTACTATTTACTTATCATTCAATTATTACTATTTAATTATCATTTAATTATTATATTCTTTAAATTATTATTATATTCATTTTATTACTTTTCATTCTTGTTTTAATTTAAAAGATCAGTTACAATAACGGCTTTCTTATCATATTGTATATAAAAGAAAAACATTCGAATGCGTATTCCTTCCTGGGGGATATAATTTTTTTTTTACTTGTTTTATTTTCTTTGTATTATGTTGAACTCGATTCAGTTTAAAACTTTCTTTCATGGCGAGTTCTTCGGGGTTTTTTTTGTAACGATTTTTGTCGCATTATATCAATGCCGATCAATCGGTGAACTCTTGTTCGTTTATTTCGTGTTCAATAAAAAAAAAAACAACAAGGGGAGGTGGGGGGTCCCTTGGAATCAGACGCGATTGGTCACGCATGACACGCATGACGCGCGTCGTTGCGAGTCAACGATTTTACACAGAGGTCGCCTCGAGCCATGGACCATGAAAACGTACTTTAACAAACTGACATACGGCTCCATTGTCTGCAATTTACCCCTTTTTTCCGAATTTTAATTCACTGTCCATTTTTTTTTCTATTCGAAAATTTATAAATTTTTAATTATTCATTATTTGAAAAATATTTATTTTTTTATTTAATTTACTAGTATTTTTAAAACTAGTTTTAGTAACTATTTTATAAATTAGTATTTTTAGTAACTCATAAAAAATTACAATCGAACAAATAGTCGGATGATTTATATAATTTTATTTAAAAAAAATTTGATTTTCAAAAATGTCATTGAAGGAAGAAAATTATAAAAATAAATTAAATTGTTTATAAATGGACAATCTTGAGACATAAGTTACACGCTGGTTTATGTTTGTGTTGTTTTTTTTCGGTGACGATCTATTCAAGCTGAACTCAATCTTCTGAATAAGGATGTAAGGCTCATCTTTTTACGGCACTCGTAAATCAGTATTTATATTGCTCTCGATTGTTTGTCGTGGGATCTTAAGAATGCCACTGCGCACGATGTTGTCTGTAAAAGAGTTCAAGCATTGTTCTTATCATCATAATTATATCGCACACACCACAAACATAAATTACGCATTTCTAGATTTTTACTTAAGTCAATTCTCCATAAAGATAATAATAACTTTCACATTTAAAAAGTCGGAGAAAATAAAAACCTTTTTTATTATTCATTATTTGCCAATACAATGTTTATATGTATAGCAAAAGTTGTTTTTGGATTTTTAAAACACTTTTTTTTTCTATGTGTAATTTAAAAATGATTATGGGACATTTTTTTTCTTTGAGAATTATTCAAGAGTCGAGTTTAGTGACGGTTAGCAGCTGCTTGAATTATTAAATTTACTCGAGTCTTGGTAAATAATGATATTCCCTCTTGAAATCTAGTGTCGAGTGTGTCGTCGCTTATTCTCGAGAGAGAGAGAGAAAGAGAGTGAGATAGAGAGAACTCTTGAAAACCGGGACTAAAAGTGATTTCGTCATCTTTGCAAACGACGATTAACGAAGTGGACCATTTGACGAAATTAAACACTCGAGATGAATTTCTTCCTACGCTCAAGGGTTGTTTTTTTCTTCATTTCATATCTTGTGGCATGACTAAACATTTTTCTTCACATATAAATCAAGTTTCATTTTTTTTACCTTCTACCGGTTTTTATGCATCGTTTTTTTTTGTTTTTTTTAAATTTTTGATTATATTATTTATCAATATATTTATAAAACAATTTTTCCAGGATTCTGGATAAATAATTTTATCCTGAGAAAATTATTTTATAATTATTTTTAATGGATAGAAAAATTATAAGTATTAATAATAACATTTTTATTTTATTTATTATTATTTAATTTTTAACATAAATAAATATTTGATATTTATTGAAAGAATATCATGAGAGAATTTTTAATATATCGTTCATGAAAGTTTATAAATGTGGAAACGTAAAGAATTTTTTTCAAAGGAACTAAAAAAAAAGGGTATAAAAGTAGGAAAAAAAATGTAAAAACTGTATATAATTAACTCTCTTGATGTTTTGGTAGAGTTTTGTTTTTCCCTCTCTCTCTCTCTGTGTGTGTTCATTGATTTGACTTTCGTTGGGAGTCTTATCGATGAATCTCTCTTTGATCCATGAGGAAGGTTCTTTTCGGCTCATCCACTTCCTCTTTATGCAGTTTTTTCGGTTCCTTCAACATTTTGCCGCGTAACTCCTGAACTCCTTATATAGGGGATGGGGGGGGGGGTAAGCAGAGAGGGACCAAAGAGAGATCATGCGACGACCAAGAAGTCCAGGGTGATCCGGCAAAAAGCTCGGCACCTGGGAGGGCTTTTGAGTCACTCATTCGCTTCCTCAGAACTTAATATGCCCTTCCTCCTTCTTCTCCTCCTCGTCTCACCTCCCTTAGCTTTTAACTTGACTGCCATATAATCTGCGAACATAGAGAGAAAGATTTTGTGTATGTAAGATAGAGAGAGATATAGAGAGGAAAAGAGAAAATCAAGAATTCGAGTGTATTAAACCGCTTTTTCATTCAAGGACATTTTTTTTCTTAAAATTACTATCATGAAATGATGCATTAAAAATTAAAACTTCATTAGATCGAATTTTTATAGGATACAATTTCATTTTTCAATTTAATATAGTACTCACCCCTCGTAAGTAGTGATTACTTACCACTCAGAAGTACTCACACCTCATGAGTTTCTATTATTACTAGTTTGAATTATTAATAACTATAATTTTTGTATTATAAACTACTAATAATTACAATTTTGACAGTTTTAATTACTGATCATTCATAACTCATTCGTGAGACAATAGTAAGTACTCATTCGTGACTCAATTGTGAGTACTCATTCCTGAGTATGCATGAGTGACTTACGAATAAGTCATAAATCACAATTCACTCATTCTTTACTAAATCGTAAGCCATCATTGACCCAATCGTAAATCATTCGTCACTCATTCGCGAATTATTCATGACCAAATCGTAAACAATAAGTAACTCAACCTTAAGTTATCAGTGACCTAATCGTAAGTCTTTCATGACTCAGTCATGTGAAATTCGTGACGAATTAGAAATGACCCTTGCAAAATACTCACAAATTGAAAATGCTCCTCGCGAAAGAATCACGAATTAGAAACGTGCCTCATGGAACAGTCACGAATTTGACATGCGTCTCATAAAAAGTCACGAATTAGAATTACTCATAAGAAAAAAGTCATGAATAACAAATACTCATACGAAAAAAGTCACGAATTAGAAATACACAAAAGAAAAGAGTCACGAATTAGAAATACACCTAAGAAAAGAGTTACGAATCAGAAATTTACTTCGCTAAAAGTCATGAATTAGAAATGCACCTAAGAAAAGAGTCACGAATTAGAAAGGCTCCTAAGAAAAGAGTTACGAATTAGAAATGCTCTGGAGAAAAAGTCACGAATTAGAAATTTACTTCGCGAAAAAGTCACGAATTAGAAATGCTCCTAAGAAAAAAGTCACGAATTAGAAATTATCCTAAGAAAAGTCACGAATTAGAAATGCTCTTAAGAAAAAAGTCACGAATTAGAAATGCTCCTAAGAAAAAAGTCACGAATTAGATATTTACTTCGTAAAGAGTCACGAATTAGAAATGCTCCTAAGAAAAAAGTCACGAATTAGAAATGCTCCTAAGAAAAGTCACGAATTAGAAATGCTCCTAAGAAAAGTCACGAATTAGAAATGCTCCTAAGAAAAAAGTCACGAATTAGAAATGCTCCTAAGAAAAAGTCACGAATCAAAAATTTCTAATTCGTGACTTTTTTCTTAGGAGCATTTCTAATTCGTGACTTTTTACGAAGTAAATTTCTAATTCGTGACTTTTTTCTTAGGAGCATTTCTAATTCGTGACTTTTTACGAAGTAAATTTCTAATTCGTGACTTTTTTTTTCTTATGAGCATTTCTAATTCGTGACTTTTTCTCGAAGTAATTTTCTAATTCGTGACTTTTTTTCTTAAGAGCTTTTCTAATTCGTGACTCTTTTCTTAGGATCATTTCTAATTCGTGAATATTTTCTTAGGTGCATTTCTAATTCGTGACTTTTTTCTTAGGAGAATTTCTATTTCGTGACTTTTTCGCGAAGTAAGTTTCTAATTCGTGACTCTTTTCTTAGGTGCATTTCTAATTCGTGACTCTTTTCTTAGGAGCTTTTCTAATTCGTGACTCTTTTCTTAGGAGTTTTTCTAATTCGTGACTTTTTCTTAGGAGCTTTTCTAATTCGTGACTCTTTTCTTAGGTGTATTTCTAATTCGTGACTTCTTAGGCACGTGTCTAAGTCGTGACTTTTTTAAGTTTTATTTCTAATTCATGACTTTTCACGAGGCGAATTTCTAATTAGTGATTCTTTTACGATGCGCATTTCTAATTCGTGGCTCTTTCACGAGTTGCATTTTTATTCATGAGTAGTTGAGTATTCACAAATAAGTGACTAATCACAGTTATTCTTGAGTCATTCATGATTCGTAACTATTAATTCATGACTCACGTGACTAGTGGTTTGTGATTCGTGACTAGTGACTTGTAATATGTGTTTTGTATTTTTTGATGTGCTGTGTTCTGTGATTCGTATTTAAGAGAAATAAATAAAATTAATTAAAATTACAGAATAAATTTTTAATTGTGTTCTTTTTTTCTCCTTATTTTGGGTGTGATCACCATTTAATTGGCTCAAATAATAATTGTTTGATACAAATAAATTTAATCATAGTCAAGTAACAGATTATTTGAATGAAATAAATTGTTTTTTCAGTGTAAAAAGAAAAAATGAAATATTTTTCAACTTGATTGCATATATATGTAAGACTATATAATAAGAAAAATGGAAAAACACGCGTATCAGAAATTCTAAGCACCCAATCAGATAGAAGCAACGGTGCTTCTTTCTTTAGTTAAAAAAGAATGGCGGCGTAATTACCTCGTTCTCACATTTCCTCGCAAACAAGTGTGTGCCTCATTCTTCACACACACCGTATGGTATTAGATGCACCACATGTGTGGAGAAAAGCGATCGGTAGTTGAGATAATTCGCAAACCTATATCTTCCTCTATATCTTACTCTCTTGAAGTGTATAGATATATATATGTATGTAGTATGCGGAGTTTAAAAAAGGAATAATGAGAGAGATAAAAACAAAGTTAGTTTGCTCTTGATATCCCGATCAACTGAGAACTTGGACCATTTATCACATTTAAACGTAGCCGCACACCTGTCTCTATATATACTATATATATATATATAAAACCCTCTTGAGTGCATACAGCTTCCTTATATGCGAGGTGGAGGCTCGTCGATTCTCGCGCTGAATCCTTTTAGCAACGTTTCATTTATTTACACCTTTCAAAAAGTCACGCTCATTCTCGACACAAATGATTTTATCACTCGAAGGACATCTTGAATTTAATAAATGACAAATTGACGAACAGAATGTGTTAATGGTCACGGTTGATGTGATTTTTATTCACATCCTTCTCTTTTTCACTATCCTTTAGTATAACAAAAATTTACATATTTTTATGTATATTTTATGTGTTTTTTAAAGTGAAATTTTTTTTACTTTTTGTATAGTGTTGAAATGTTTTTCTTAAAAATAAAATTTATGTAAACATTACATATTGATAAAAGATATTATATATGGGTGAATCTCTCGAAAAGGACAAATGCTGAATTAAGAAAAAAAAAAAAAAAAAAGTTCAAAACCACTGTTATGACTATTGCTATGTGAAGAGAAGGACCTAAATAAGTCTCTAAAATACGTTGTTACGATCTTTATGAACATTATTGTTTAAAAAATAATTGTTTAATATAAAATAATTGTTTAATATTTTGTCACCGATACAATGATCGAATCCGTTTAAATCTTGTTACTCGAGGGTTTTTGGGGTCGCTAAACACGAATCCGGTGTTAGTTTTTCAAAATTCAAAATGACAGATCCAATATGGCGGACGACAATTTCAAAAATCAGTCCAATTTACTTGAAAATGGTTATTCGGGGGTTTTCGGGGTCGCTGATTACGAATTTAAGGTCCGTTTTTAAAAATTCAAAATGGCGGACGACAGATTTAAACATCCATCCAATTTACTTGAAAATAGTTACTCAGGGGTTTTTGGGGTCGCTGATTACGAATCTGGAATCAGTTTTAAAAAATTCAAAATGTCGGACAATTATCTTTTAAATCTATTTAATTGGCTTCAATATCGTTAATTAGGGGGTTTCAATAACGGTGAACACAAATCTGAAGGTAACCCAAGTAACCATTTTCAAGTAAATTGGATTGATTTTTGAAATTGTAGTCCGCCATATTGGATCCGCCATTTTGAATTTTGAAAAACGGACCTCAGATTCGCAATCAGCGACCCCAAAAACCTCCGAGTAACCATTTTCAGGTCAATCGGATCGATTTTTGAAATTGTAGTCCGCCATATTGGATCCGCCATTTTGAATTTTGAAAAACGGACCTCAGATTCGTAATCAGCGACCCCAAAAACCTCCGAGTAACCATTTTCAGGTCAATCGGATCGATTTTTTAAATTGTTGTCCACCATATAGGTTCCGCCATTTTGAATTTTTGAAAACGGACTTCAAATTCGTAATCAACAGACGAAAATCTTGAAGGAACGATTTCGTTTGATTTTTTTAACATTATTATTCGATAATATTACATGTTCTTTTTTTTTGACATGGCCCCCTTTGACCCCCCGTAATTCCGAAAGGGGGCATATGCTCATCTTGAAATTTTGCAGGGATTATTGGGTCATCATATGTTACCATTTGGCATAAAGAAAGTTTCAAAATTCGAGGTACGAAAAAGGTGCATTTTTTTGCATGAGGCTTTATAATCGATGGATGTGACTAGCGATCACGGAGGGGAGTTTTCTTCCTTTAGGCGTAGCCAAAATTTATTGATTCTAATATAAAAATAATAAATTTTATAAAAAAAAGTAATAATAGTTTTCGCGATATTTAAAAGAATATTCTAAAAATTATTAATAATATTTATTATTTATTTATCAAAAAACTAAATTTAAAGTGGCCACGGAGGGGAGTTTTTTTGTGTCGACGAACATTGCGAAACTGAAAATCTTTCTGACACTTATTGTTTTCATTTCTTTCATGATGTTGTGTACTGACCAAAACAACATCGTCACTGTAAACACTTTTGAATTCTTCATTTCTCAATTATCATTTTTTTTTTCATTTACTCATTATATTTGTAATTGGTCACGGAGGGGAGTTTACTTTGCGAACAAAACTTATTTAATTCTAGGAAAAAATATTTTACAAATATTCTGTTTTACACTTTATAAATCAATTATAAATAATGTAATTAGTAGATGTTACTAGACAAAAGATGTTTTCCTATTGCAGTATGAATGCAATAATTCTTCTT